GGCTCTGCGGGCAGGGGGCGTGGCTGGCGCTGCCGCGGGCGGCCCTGCGAGTTCGCAGCGCGAGTCGGCTGGCGTCGCGGCGCCGAGCAGCTCCCGAGTGTTTGCCGCCTGCGCAGCTGCAGCCAGCGGGCACCCAGGTGAGTTCTGGCCGGGACCCTGCAACGCGGCCGCGGCTGCGACAGCCCCCGCGCCCCCCGAGGGCCCCATCCCCGTGGAGCCCCTTCGCTGCTCGCTCGGCGCCGGTGTCTCACCTCCGCGCGGGTCCTTTTCCTCCCGGTCTCGGCCTCCGCCCGTGCATCCCGCAGCCCACGGCCTGCGGGGCGCCGCACACGCCCTTCGAGCCGGAGCCCCCTGCCCCACCCCGAGACGCGGGAGCAGCGCCCTGCCGTATTTTTAGCTGCCGGTGAGGTCTCCCTCCTATCTTTAGCGGCCGTCGCGACTGTCCCGAAACGGATCCGAGCGCGGCTGCGCTCGAGTCGAGGCCGGGGAGGGCGCTGGAACCCGAGATGGGGCTCAGGAGCCGGCCCCGCGGGAGCCAGGGGCGGGGGCCCGCACGCTCGAGCTCTGGCTGGGCGCCCAGCGGACACTCGGACAGCGCCCAGGCCGGAAAGCTGCGGGGAGGCTCCTCCCAGGGCTGGGAGACCCGAGCTGGGTCTCGGCTCGCCCCTATTGTCCGGCTGGAAGATCAGCAGCCCCCTTGAGAAGAAAGCCCCCCCCAACCCCCATGATATCTGCATCGGGTACGTTTCCGAGGCGCCCGCTGCGGCGGCGGCGGCGAGGGGGCGCCGGCGGTGAGCCCCAGACGCGCTGGAGACCCCAGAGCGCGCGCGGATCCCTCCGGGACACCCGCATGGAGGGGGGCGTGCGCCACCTAGCGGCCGCTCGGAGGAGCGCCGCTCCCCACCCGCACCCGGGAGTCCCCGCAGCAGGGTCCAGGGGAGCCCGCGCGGGCTAGGTGGGCACGCGAGGCGGGGGGCAGACGGCCGGTTCCTGGAGAGGGCGTTGGTTTTCGGTCTTGTTGGAAGCCGTGGCCGGGAGAACCAGCCTGTTGGACGAAGATCCTGAGGCTCCTTGCAGAATGAATGAGGGGCTGGCGGTGGCCGCGAACCGCAGTTGTACCTTGGCGCTGTCCCCTCGAGTCTGGCTGTTAGGGACCTTAGGCTCTGGCCGGGGCGTGATTGTCTATGGATGGGAAAGCGGGGGTGGGCGGGCGCGGAGGGCAGCGCCTTGCAGGGGCTCCCAGGTCGAGGGATTCAAGGTCGGTGTTGGGATTTCAAGGTCGGGGGCTGCTCCTTGAAAAGCCACGTGGAGTGTGGCTCAGGTGGGGGTGGGGAGAATCTGCTTCCAGGAAGTCTTTTTTTTTTTTCTGAATGATGTTCTGGCTCCAGTCCAGAGCAAGCGCACGGGGCTGGGCTGGACCCCGTGTACCCCTCCCGCTGCTGGGGCCCCCTGTTCCTCCCAGCCTCCTTGTCCTGCGGATTGGTCTGTCTTCCCATGCTTGCAGCCAAGAATTTGGATAGAGACAGCCTGAGGACCCCGCGGTTCTAGCACAGCTGGAAACCGTTTCTTTTAGCTCACCCAGCAGATCCAGGGGGCCGGGCCTCAGTGCCCACCCTTCCTCTGCCCCCTGAAGGGGCAGGAATGCCACCCATTGTTCTGGGGCTGGCCGCGCTGGAATGAGAGCGGGGCGGGCAGCTGGGCCTGCGGGCCGGTGCCAAGTCTGAATACTTGGAGGGTTGTAATCCCCAGCTCCCCTCCGGGGTGGCGCACCCACCCCTTCCCCCCCAGTGTCGAGTCTCCCACATCTGGAATTGGGCGGGTCCATCTGGCCGAGAGTGAGACAGCTGTCAGGGACGCCCGATTTGTTGTGGAAACGCTTGGGCTGTCTTGGCGGCCCAGGGGGGACCGGGAAAGGGGGAGGCGGAGGGTTTTGCAAAGTGGGGAGGGAGCTGGCTCAGGTTCCGGGCAAATCCCATCAGTGACCCTATCTCAGCGTTGGAAAGGAAGGAAAAGCTACCCGGGACCTCTTGCCAGCGAGGGGCGCGGAGAGGACGCGTGTCCGCCTGGCCGGGGCGTGGCCTGTGGGGAGGGGGCGGGACTCCGGGGACGAGCCAATGAGCAGCGGCTTCAAGACCCCGCCCCTCTCCCGCCCCGCCCCCGTGTAGCTGGAATCGGGACCCCAGCGGGTCGTTTCTTTGTTTCCTGTCAATCGCAGGTGCTTCGGGAGAAGGAACTTGAGTCCCTGACCCAGGTGTCCGGCCCTGGGTGGGGTTTCCTGAGAGAGGAGCAGGGCTGGGGGGGGCGCTACCGCTCTGCCCCCTCTTCCTGCTTCCACTGCCAGCCTCCTTTTGGCCTCCTCCCCCCACCCCGCCCCACTGGGACCCTCCGGAGCCGGCGGGAGGGAGCAAGCAAGGGGAGAGGGTGGGCTGCTCTGGTTTCCCGCTGGGGACCCCACTAGGTCTTTCTTGCTCTGATTGGACACTCGGACTGTCCGGTGTGGGTGTGTCAGCAGTCCTCACCCCCGACCCCCCCAATCTTTTCCTGCTAAGCTAATGACACCCCTCCTGGGGATTGTTTTTCTTCCATACTGAAAAGTTTAACTCTCTGATTTCATTTAAAAAAAAAAAAGACATGCCTCCAATGAAGAATTCCAGCCCGCTTAGTATGCGCCAGGGTCCCTGCAAAGGGCGGGGGAGGAAAGTCTGACTCAGGCTTTGATCCCTGGGGGGTTCCCCTGAGCATCTCCAGAAGCCCCCCACCCTGGCACGGAGCTGGATGCAGCCCCTGTAAAGCAGAAGTTGCCCCCTAAACCCTGACTAAAAGAACACAAAGTCCAAACAAGGAAAAAAGGTCCTGAAATGTTATCACCTGGGGCCTCAGTCCCTAGAGCGCTTGCCTGGCATGTAGCTGACCTGGGTTTGGTCCTGGCTGCACATGGAGTTCCCTGAGCCCCCCAGATGTGAGCCCTGAGCACCGCCTGGTGTGACCCCAAACAAACAAAAAATTATAGCACCTGGTGCCTGCAGGACCAGGTGGTGCCGGGGATCGAACCTAAGCCAGGCCTTGCGCTCCTGCACGTGGAGCCATCTCCCTGGCACAGTGGTGACCTCTCTGTCACATGTGTCATCTTCTGGACACAGAACCAAATATGACCCCATTTTAGTTGGGGTTGTACTCAGGAATCACTCCTGGTGGAGCTCGGGGAACCCTATGGGATGGGGGGGGGGTCGAACCTGTGTCAGCCGCACACAGGCAGGCGGCCTCCCCACTCTGGCCCAGACAGGGCATCTTTCTCAGGGCCGCCTGCCCTCCCCCGCGCATTCCTGCCCTCACTCCCACATGGCCCGCCAGGTCGCACCCTGGAGGTTCTATACTCTCCTCTGCTCTGACGGAGGGTGCCCCCCAGGCCGGCCTGTATGCGTGTGTGCGGGCAACAGGCAGGAGCTGGGCACTGCGCACATGGAACCTTCCGGCCTGTATTCTTGCGTTTTACTTCTCTTGGCAGGTTCTGTGGGAATCTCATCCAAAATATCTTGTAGTTCTGATTCCTTCCTTCCTTCCTCCCTCCCTCCCTTCCTTCCTCCCTCCCTCCCTCCCTTTTTTCCTCTCTTCCTCCCTTCCTTCCTTTCTCCCTCCCTCCCTCCCTCCCTCCCTTCCTTCCTCCCTCCCTCCCTTCCTTCCTTCTTTCCTCATCCCTCCCTTCCTCCCTTCTTTCCTCTCCCTTCCTCCCTTCTTTCCTCTCTCCCTTCCTCCCTTCCTTCCTCCCTCCATCTCTTCCTCCCTTTCTTCCTCCCTCTCTCCTCCCTTCCTCCCTCCCTTCCTCCCTTCCTTCCTTCCTTCTGTTGCAGTGCAGAGGAGCTGACCAGGGCTTCACAGAGGCAAGGCCTACGCTCTACCATCCCTAGTCCTACATCTCTTATTTCAAATTGGGGTGACAGGGCCGGAGAGATAGCAGAGGGAAAGACACCTGCCTTGCATGTGGCCAACCTGGGTTCTATCCCATCACCATGAGCACCTCCAGGGGTGATCCCTGAGCACAGCCCGGTGTGTCCCCCAAAGCTAAAATCAAATGACAGAAAGTGATTGAATGAGATGTGTTTGCAGAGAACTCAGCAAAATGCCAAGCTCACCCGCGGTCCTCCCTCAAATCTGTGTCTCTTCCAGCTCCAAAGGGACACACGTTATTAGCTTCTGCCTCTCCCTTCTGGAGCCCTGAAATTGGGAACTGCCCTCCTGGTGGGTCTGAGGGTGGGCACCACTTGGAGCCCTCCTGTGTGGTAGGACGCGAGATCTTGGCCCAGGGTCTGGTAAGGAATTCATGAGACAAGTTTGAGCCCCGCTGATTTGACAGCTTTTCCTTTTTCTTTTTTTTTGTTTCTTTTTGGGTCACACTGGCGAAGCTCAGGGGTTACTCCTGGCTCAGCACGGGAATCGAACCCAGACCAGCCGCATGCAAGGCAAACACCCTACCCGCTGCACTATCGCTCTGCACCCCCAAGCCCCCCAATTTGGAATCTGTCATGTTTAGGGCACCTGGTGGTGTGGCGGGCGCTCAAATCACCACGTTCAGGTGTGGCACCAGGGATCCAGGGCTAGAGACTGGAACTTTGAGTGTGACCTCCGGCCGGTCACTCAGGCCTCAGTCTCCCTACTTGTACAGGGAGGAGGGGCTGACTGCCAGTGACCTGAGCGTCCCTGGTCCTGCAGCAGGGCCTGCAGGGGTCAGCGACAAGGCTGGCCTCTGCTCCTGTCCCTCTGTCCCTGACTTGCACCTTTGTTTCAGCTTCTCAGAGAGTGACCGCGAAGTCCCGACCACCGCCAGAGGGCGCTGTCCACCATCCGCTCTGCCCGGGGTTTCAGAAGACCTGTCCAGCCTTGGGGAGATCTGGACCTGGGGAGACCCCTCGGATGCCCCGGGCCCGCTGACCGCGGTCACGCCCAGGCCCCAGGCGTAGGTAGCCCTGAGCAGGGGTGAGCTGCGGTGACAGGCGGACTCCCCGGGACCGGGACACTCCCGGGCCGGACACCATGTCCACCAAGGTGCCCATCTACTTGAAGCGGGGCAGCCGCAAGGGCAAGAAGGAGAAGCTGCGGGACCTGCTGTCCTCGGACATGATCAGCCCCCCGCTGGGGGACTTCCGCCACACCATCCACATCGGCAGCGGCGGCGACCGCGACATGTTCGGAGACATCTCCTTCCTGCAGGGCAAGCTGCACCTGCTGCCCGGGACGGCGGCCGACGGGGCGGACGAGGACGCCCTGGACCTGCCCTTCCAGTTCACGCGCACGGCCACGCTGTGTGCCCGCGAGCTGCCCGCAGGGCCGTCGCCGCTGCTCAAGAATGCCATCTCCCTCCCCGTCATCGGGGGGCCCCAGGCCCTCACCCTGCCCCCGACGCAGGCGCCCCCGAAGCCCCCGCGCCTGCACCTGGAGACCCCGCAGCCCTCGCCGCAGGAGGCGGCCAGCATGGACATCTGGAGAACCCCGGAGGCCGGCCAGGCCCACAACGGGCTGACCCCCGACTCGGGGTCCGAGGAGCCCTTCCTGTCCCACGCCAGCTCCCTGCTCTCCCTGCACGTGGATCTGGGCCCCTCCATCCTGGATGATGTCCTGCAGATCATGGACCAGGACCTGGACCACACGCAGCTCCCCACCTAGGACCCAGGGCGGGCCAGGCGGGTGCCCAGCTGAGCTGAACTTCTGCCTTTTCTCACCTGGAGCCTTTGTTGCACCCTCCTCCGCCAGCAGGGGGCGCCTTCGGGCTTCCCCCAGTGACTGACCCCCCCCCCCCCAGGACGTTTGCTCAAGTCAATGACAAGGACCACCTGGGCCGCGGACATCAACAGTCCCTTCCTTCCCTCAGACCCTTGGATGTAAGCTCTGCTCAAAGGCCCCCTTTTCATTCCCCTTCAGCCTGGTTGGATGCCCTGATTTTGGGGGGAGGGGAGAGGCGGGCACAGACTCAGTCTCTCCGCCTCAGCCCCGACCAGGGCCTCTGGCTGCAATAAAACTCGCTGCTGGTACTTGTGCTTCTGGTTCTCTTGTGCCAGGTCCAGGGAAGCCACCAGCCTCTGCAGCCGTGGGCCAGGCCGGCAGAGATGCCAAGCCCGGTGCCTGGCGGACATTCTGACACAGATGCAGGTGTCTGGCCAGAAGAGAGCCAGCCCTGGGTAGTGGGTTGTCAGCTGGGGGAGAACTGGGCACAGGGGGAGGGAGCCCTGACTAATGCAGCTTGAGAGCAAGGGGACAGGCTTGGCACTGGGCATCTGGTCATCAGTCGGTTTGTCCCTCAAGCTCTGTGTTGGGTAGCGATGGTGCACTGGGCAGCCTGGGGGTGCCAGACCAAGGTGACCCCAAGTTCCCTTCCTGAGGGAGGAAGGATATTAAACTTGTGAGCAAGAGAGGTGACTTCCCACAGCGGGGAACATGAGGGGGGCCCCGAGAACAGAAATACCCACAGGGGGGCACGGAGGGTGTGGGGCACATCAGGTGCCACCAGCTCCGGAGGCCTGGTGGTCCCGCTAGTGCAGGTGCAGAAGCACCGAGGTCGGAGTGGGCCAGAGCGGTGTCCCCTGGAGGAACGGCTCACGTCCCACCCATCCTCGTGAGACTCAGTTTCTAAAATGAAACTCTAAAATGGGCTCAGAAGGTGTACCTGGCCAGATCGCTGGGAACACTGGGGCTAATGATTAATAATTGCCTCCTGGATGGAATTCAGGAACAGCGTTGGGGTTCAACAAAGGTGCTTGGGGCTCAGACAGGCGGGTGTGCGAGGCTGCGAGCACAGGGCAGCTTCAAGGAGTTTAGCTGTAGCCGTGGCCAAGAGTGCACTGGACAAAAGAAGCAGGAGCCGCCGGTCAGCCTGGGCTGGGGGGAGGAGGGGGACGTGACCACAGCCATGGCCAGGTCAGGAAGGTCAAAGAGGAAACTGCAGCAGGCAAAGGACGGGGTGAGGCAGGACGATGCTAACGGGGCACAGGGTCCGAGTGGTATCGACCTCGTGGGCAGCCGGAGGCCAGGTCCAGCCTCCGGGGTCTCCTCTGCCTGCCCTCCCTGCCCTTCCCCACCGAACCCCAACTCCCTACTGCAAGGACATTTCACAAGGGACCAAGCCAGGCCCAGCAGCATGGTTTGCCATACAGTATACACGTGTACAGTTTGGCTGTATAGTATACATGTGTATGGTTTGGCCGTACAGTGTACACACGTATGGTCTGGCCATAGTATACGTGCATATGGTTTGTCCATACAGTGTACACCGTGTCAACCACAGCTGTAGCCTAGATGTATTGTTATTAACTATGCCCAAAAACCAAAATCTGAAATGCTCACTTTCACTTTTTTTTTTTGCTTTTTGGGTCACACCTGGCAATGCTCAGGGGACCCAATGGGATGCTGGGGACGGAACCCGGATTGGCCACGTGCAAGGCAAACTCCTTACCCACTGTGCTATCTCTCCAGCCCCACACTTTCACTTTTTTATTGTATTTTCTTTGGGGGCGCTACCCGGAGTGGTGCTCAGGGACCACTCCTGGCTCTTTGCTCCTTAGCAGTGCTCAGGGGGCCACATGTGGTGCCAGGTTTTGAGCCGAGGTTGCTGTGTGCAAGGCCAGTGCCTTACCTGCTGTACCAGCTCTCTGGCCCCATTTTCATTTTTTCCCATTGTTTGCTTTGGGGCTGCACCTGACCTTGCTAGGGGCTTACTCCTTGCTCTTCCCTCAGGGATCATTCTTGGAGGCCTCAGGGGATCAGACCCGGTGGGCTGTGTGCATGTCACGTATCCTACCCGCTGTACCATCGCTGCACCCCCATTTCACCATTTTTGTTTATTTTTGGGTCATCCCAGGTGATGCTCAGGGTTTACTCCTGGTTCCACACTCAGGGATCACTCCTGGCATGCCCAGGGGACCATATGGGATGCAGGGGATCCAACCAGGGTCAGCTGTGAGCAAGGCCAGCGCCCTCCCCGCTCCCTGCTTTACTATGGTCTGGCTGCCTTTTTTTTTTTTCTTTTTGGGTCACACCCAGCAATGCACAAGGTTTACTCCTGGTTCTGCACTCAGGAGTTACTCCTGACGGTGCTCAGGGGACCATATGGGATGCTGGGAATCGAACCTGGGTCAGCCGCATGCAAGGCAAACACCCTACCTGCTGTGCTATTGCTCCAGCTCCGTGGCTGCCGTTTTTAAGTGGAGAATTTAGTGGCACCTCCGCCATCTATCTCCAGAGCTTTGTTCTGCCCCTACAGAGCACCTAGTCCTGAAGCCCTAACTCCCCCCACCTCTTCCCCACCCCCTGCCATGACACTTCTGCTCTCGCCTGGGACTGAGACTCCTAGGAACTGCCTAGAAGTGGAGTCACCCCCCACTTGGCTGCCAGCTCCCCCCCCCCCCCCCCCCCCCCCCCCCCCCCCCGCAAGCCCCCCTGGTGCTCCACCTGTACTGCGTGTCAGCGCCCTCTGCTGCCCGGCTGGAAAACAGCCCCGCTGGACCCCTCACACTCTCCAGGTCCTCGCAGCTTCTGCCTTCTGCCTCTTGGGAACCCCGCTGCGGTGAAAACATATGAGCCAATTACATGGAAAGTATCATGCTAAGTGAAATGAGTCAGAAAGAGAGGGACAGACATAGAGTGCATTCATCTGGGGAATATAAAGTATCAAAATAGGAGACTAACACCCAAGAATAGCCGAGATAAGTACCAGGAGGTTCACTCCATGGCTTGGAAGCCAGCCACACTGCTAGGGGAAAAGGCAGGTCAGATAGAGAAGGGAGCACCAAGTAAAGGGTGTTGGGAGGATCCGCCCAGGATGGGAGATGCATGCTGAAAGTAGACTATAGACCGAACATGATTGCCACTCAATGCCTCTTTTGCAAACCACAGCACCCAAAAGGAGAGAGAACAAAAGGGAATGGCCTGCCACAGAGGTGGGATGGGATGGGGGGGGTGGGGGAGTGGAAGGGATACTGGGAGCACTGGAGGTGGAGAATGGGTACTCGTGGAGGGATGGGTACTCAATCATTGTATAACTGAAATCCAAGCACAAAAAATTGTAAGTCTACAGCTGTACCTCATGGTGTTTCACTAATAAAAATTAAAAAAAAAAAAGAGAGGAGCTGGAGCGATAGCACAGCAGGTAGGGCGTTTACCTTGCACGCAGCCAACATGGCCGACCTGGGTTCGATTCCCAGCATCCCATATGGTCCCCCCGAGCACCGCCAGGAGTGATTCCTGAGTGCATGAGCCAGGAGTAACCCCTGAGCATCGCTGGGTGTGACCCAAAAAGCAAATTAAAAAAAAGAGAGAGAGAAAGAAAGAAAACAAACGTGCCATGCCTGTCTGGGGCCAGCTCTCACTTCCATGGAGGCATTGCTGGACCATATGGCAATTCGAGCTTAATTTTCTGATGAGCCACTGTACCAGTGATCAATCAACATCAGAGCTTGATTCAAGGGTTTTGTTTTGCAAAGCCCAGGATCTCACACACGCCAGGCAGGTGCTTTGCTGAGCCCAAGAGACTTAGTTTTATCTTTGGGTAGAGGAGGGGTTGGGGCCACACCTGGAACGTTCAGGGGTTATTCCTGGCTCTGCACTTGGGCATCACTCCTGGCAGTGCTCGGGGGACCAAATGCTGTGCAGGAATCGAATCGGCCTCCACATGCGAAAGAAGCACCCTAACCTCCATACTTTCACACCAGCCCACTCTTCAATGCGTTTAAGAATTTTTTCACTTCCTCTGGTTTTAGTTTGTCTGTAGTGGGGGGGGGGGGAATGAAATGCCAAGCCAGGTGCCCGTTACCGAGCTACACCTAACGGGAAGGCTTTCTGGGCTTCAGCTATTATGCCTAATAGAAATAATGGGGAGGGCGTTTGCCTTGCATGCGGCCAACCCAGTCAGCCCAGGTTCGATTCCTCCGCCCCTCTCGGAGAGCCTAGCAAGCTACTGAGAGTATCTCGCCCGCACGGCAAAGCCTGGCAAACTACTCAGGATATATTCGATATGCCAAACACAGTAACAACAAGTCTCACAATGGAGACGTTACTGGGCCCACTTGAGCAAATTGATGAACAACGGGAAGACAGACAGACAGACAGACAGAAATAGGGGACACGGAAAAATCTTCTTCCCCAAAGGGGTAGGACCAATCATCCAGCCAACAAGGGCACCTCTTTTGACACAGGAAAATCAAAATGACCCTGGGCAGTTTCGTCTCCTCATTGGGAGAAACCACCTCTGTGCCCTTGGCTGGAAATGTTTCTCCCAGGGGAGGGCAAGGCCGCAGATGGCCCAGCGTCCAGGCTTGCCAGGACCGGAAGCAGTTGTGAGAGTCGTTAGCTGAGACTACCTGAGGGTGGTGGCTCCCACTGCCTGGCTCCCATCTGCCAGAGAGGCATCCTCTGTAGGCACCAGGGAAGAGACGGAACACCAATTCGAGACGAAGCTCTTAGCAGACTGGAAGAACCAGAATGCTGAGGCTGGAGAGATAGCAGAGCGGGAAGGGCGTTTGCCTTGCACACAGCCGACCTGGGTTCGATCCCCGGCATCCCATTCACTCCCCTGAGTCTGCCAAGGAGTGATTCCTGAACACAGAGCCAGGAGTAAGCCCTGAGCACTGCTGGCTTGTTGGCACCCAAATAATCAAGAAATTCCCCCAAAACTGGAAAGCTACTGGTGCTAGGGACAGAAGGGGAGGGAAGGGAAGGCCTTCTGATGGTCTAGAAGGAATCTATTATTATTATTATTATTATTATTATTATTATTGGCTTTTTTTTGGGTCACACCCGGCGATGCACAGGGGTTACTCCTGGCTCTGCACTCAGTAATCACTACTGGCGGCGCTCAGAGGATCATATGGGATGCTGGGAATCGAACCCGGGTTGGCGGCGTGCGAGGCAAACGCTGTAACTATCGCTCCAGCCCTCTATTATTACTTATTTTATTATTAGATCTGGGGGCCACATCTAGTTGTACACTGGGGCTACTCCTGGCATAGTGCTCTGCAGGTCACCACCTAGTGGTGCTCGGGGGATCATGTAACATTGGCGATGAGCCCAGACCTGGGGCAGGGCCTGTGCTTCAACGCTGTGATTCCTCATGGCCCTTCGGCTGTTCACACTTTTCCTTGAAATGTGCATTGCCCCTGAGCATGGCTGGCTGTGTTCCCAAACCCCAGAATAACGATGTTTCAAAGTCAGAGAGCTGGCACAGGGGTCGATGTGCTTGCCCCGCACATGGCAGACCTGGTTCGATCCCCAGCACTGCCCAGGGTCTCCAAGCTCTGTCTGGGGCCCTGAGCACAGACCCAAAAGTAGCCCCTGAAAGCCAAACTGCTGAATGTGGCTCCCAGCTCCCTCCCACAAAATAATTAAGAGGACATATGCCAATAGGATCCTGGAGCTCCTATTGGCATATAGGGTCTTAGACCGTATATAGACCCTTTGCCCCATCAGCATATGATCAGGGGTTCAAATCTGGGGGTCCCATATGCACTGAGCCCTCTCCTGACAACTCCATGATCGATCCCTGGCCCTAAACGCCTTCCAGCCACCCCATGGCCAGGCGTGTGCCGACACCACAGGAACTGAGTGGGGGTGGGAACACATGTACCACATGCAGGAGGTCCAGGGTCAACCAACCCCTGGGAACTGCATGGTCCCCCACTTCGAGACTTCGAGGAGTGCCCCCCAATACGTAGCCAGGAGTAGGCCCTAAGCACTGTTGGGTGTGACCAAAAAAAACATAAAGGGGGAGGGGGAGGCACCAGAGAGATAGGATTGGACCCATCAAGTATGGACACTTGTACCTACTTTATGGGGCATCTATCCACCCCAGTTCAAAGCCCAGCACCACATACGGTCCCCTGAGCCTTGCCAGGAGTGACCCCTAGGCACAGAGCTGAGAGCAAGCCTGGGGCGTGGTAAAACACTAATAAAATAAAAAGTATAGATTCAAGGCTATATTCCCGGATTATAGGCTTGTAGTTTTGTTGTTGTTGTTTGCCTTTTGGGTCTCACCCAGTGATGCTCAGGGGTTACGCCTGGCTCTCCACTCAGGAATTACCCCTGGCGGTGCTCGAGGGACCATATGGGATGCTGGGAATCGAACCCGGGTCGACTGCATGCAAGGTAAACGCCCTACCCACTGTCCTATTGCTCCAGCCCTCGGGCATGTAGTTTTTTGGAGACCACACCCAGTGATGCTCAGGAATTACTCCCGCGGTGCTCAGAGGACCATATGGGATGCTGGGGATCAAACCTGGGTGGGCCGCGTGTAAGCGAAACTCCCTACCCCCTGTACTATGGCTCGGTCCCAGACGTGTCTTTTTTGTTTTTGTGTTTGTTTGTTTCTTGGGCTTCACCAAACACGTGCTCAGGAGTGAGCCCTGGCATGTGCAATGTCTGCTGCATAGATGGGAAGTGCCTTTACTCCTGGTACTTTCTCTCCGCCCTGACTGTTTTGTTTTGGGGGCCACACGTGGCAGTGCTCAGGGGTCGTTCCTATGGGTTTCAGAGGGGGCCATACAGGATGCTGGGAATTGGACACTGGTTGGCTGTGTGGAAGGCACGTGCCCAACCCACTGTCCTATGGCGCCGGTCTCTAACATGTATATTCTTGTGTTCTCCCAGACCCACTTTTCCAAGCGGAGAGACAAGGGAAGAGGTGGGGGTCGGAAAACAGGTGTTTTTTTTCTCCCTTTCCCTTTGTCCTCGTACGGGGATTTAACTCTATCGTGAGGGGTCCACCCTTTTGACCTCATTCAAACCTAATCACTGGGGGCCTGAGCCAGCGGGCAGGACACTCGCCTTGCACACGGCTAACTCGGGTTTCAGCACCACATACGGTCCTCCAAGCCCCTCCAGGAATGAGCTCTGAGCACAGAACCAGGAGTCAGTCTTGGGCAACGCTGGGTGTCACCCAAAAGCAAAAAAAAAAAAAAAAGAAGACACTAACCGCAATGGGGGACATAAACAGTATTTGCCTTGAAAGAAAAGAAAAATAATAATGGGCTGATAATCAAAGGCAGATGAGCTTGTGGGCCGGTTCTGATTTCTTCTGTGTGGAACGCGCTGTCACTGTCGTTGCTGCTGGGCCGGCCAGGGCTGATTGCTCAGAGGCTATTAAGCCCCCCAGACACGAAAGCGAATGGTCAAGAGGCGCGGGACACCGTGCAGGAGGGAAGGAGCTAGGGCGGGGGCCGGGAGACAGAGGGGCGCCGAGAAACGGGTGGCGGGAGACCTGCACCTTCACATCCCCAGTTGCTCAGTTGTGGGCATTAATTTTTCCTCTTTGCTACGACTCGCTCGTTTTCTCTTCATTTTCTACTCCCTAAAATGGGCAATGAATTTGGGGGCTCCAGTGGCCCGTATCTGACTCTTTTCTGCTGCTCCCCCGCGCCCCCAGAGCGCCGCTTGTGAATCAGAGCAAGGGGCAGCCCGTGAGGTTCAAGGTCAGCGAGGAAGCAGGACGCGCGGGCGCCAACCCCTAGGTTCCTCGAGACCCCGCCAGCCCCCTCGGAGTAGCGGCGGAGCGCGCTTGCAAACGGAAGGCGTGGGCGTGCGCAGGCGCCACGGAGCGCGCGCGGCCACCTCCGCTGCGCCTGCGCCGAGGCCGCCGAGGCCGCCGGGGGCCCAGAGTCTCAGCCAGCTCGTTCTCCGTCGCTCGCTCCCGGGCGCGCGCCCTGCCGGCGCCTGCGCAGAGACTGGAGCCCCCCGCTCGTCCCTGACCGGTCCCGGCGCCTGCGCAGAGAGATGGGAGCGCGGCTGCCCGAAGCGGTTCGCGCCTGCGCAGAGCGAATGGAGCCTGGCTCCCCGGAGCGGTCCCGGCGCCTGCGCAGAGGGACGAGCAGCCCGGCTCCCCGGAGCGGTTCCGGCGCCTGCGCGCTGCGGGCTCCGGGCCTCCCGGCCTGAGGCAGAGCGGCAGGGAAGATGGCGGCCGTGGTGGAAAATGTAGTGAAGCTGTGAGTGCCCTTTTCCCCGTCCCCTAGGCCGGGGGGTGTGGGGAGGAGCCCGGGGAGTCGGGACGGGGCGGCGGGCAGGCGGGGAGGAAGGGCGCGGAGGCAGGGACGCGCCCGAGGCGGCCTGGGGGCGACTCCTAGCGGGGAGGGCCGCCGCGGACTCCGGGAAGACGCTGCGCTTCTTTGGAAACTTGTGGAGGCCCCGCGGGGGCCACACGGAGCCGCCGTCAGCGCGCGCGGGGCCGGCGGGGGAGAGCGAGCGAGCCCCGGGGCGGCCGGGCCGGGGTAGAGGGGCGGGAGCCCACGTCCCGGGGGGCGGCGGAGGGAAGGGAAGGGACTTCGGGGGAGACCACCCGGGGGCTGCCCAGGAGCTGCCCAGGCCGCCTTGGGTCGACCCCCGGGTGGGCGGCCTCGGGGGGGCGCGGGTCGGGCTCCCCGCAAAGTTAGTTGCCGGAGTCAGGGCCGTGAGCTGCAGGAGCTGCGGGACTTGCTTTGCCCCAGCCCCCCTCCCCACCCCCCGCCGCCCCCCAAGAGTTGAAGTGGGCTGCGGAGCGGTTCTGGAACAGGAGAAGGGGCTGGGTACAGGGGGGAGGATGCGGCGCTGCGGGGCTGGGGCTGGGTGACCAGGGCACCGTGGTCGGGGGCCGGTTGCAAGGGGCTCCCGGGCTCCTCCGCCTTTGTGTGGGTCCGAGCCCCCTTTTCCCAGGAGCGGGTTTGCAGGGCCCCACGCTGCACCCCCGCCGGAGCCGCGCGCGAGGCCGCCCTCCCACTTCCATTAAGCTAAGTGCCTCCTCCTCCTCTTGCGGTTTTTTGCCTTTTTTTTTTTTTTGACTGGCTCTCAGCCTCCCGCTTGCCAGCAGCGCTGTGCTCGCTCTCGGATCTGCCCACTCCACTCTCCTTCCCGGCGCGCTCCAGGCTGACATTTCCCTCGATTTCGAAATGACGCTGTTGGTCTACCCTGTATCCGGTGCTCCTTCCTGACTCAGACTGGCTCGGTTCCCCTCATTCCCCAGGGGCAGGGGAGATTTTTTTTTTTAAATCCAAGTTTCTCACACACACACACACACACACACACACACACACACCAACCCCGTTTCCCCCCACTCCTCAGTGAAAGAGAATCCAAGCTTCTTACAGGGGTTTGGGGCAGGGTGATGGCCACTGTCCTGGGTGTTGAGGGTCCAAGTTAATGGGATTTTCTGTGGTGGGAGGTCGGGCCACCAGGGACCAGGACCTAGAGAGATGGAAAAGGTCCCGGGGGTCCGCAGCCCCTGTCCTGCTCCGGGGGAATGAGAAACCAGCATTCTGCTCAAATTCTAGCATTTCCTCGCTGGACTTTCAAAGGTGGGGGCTTCTGCGCGCGCCCCCCATCCCCTCGGGGCCAGCTGACTTTCTGCCCCATCTTCAGCCTGGTGTGTTTTGTCTCTCACGGCTGCTTGTTGTGGAAGACGAATGTCCCTCTCTCTGGGGTCTCTTGTGCTTCCCAAAGGATGGATCGGGATTGGCAGTCTTTCTGGGCCTTTCTTTTTAGTGAGGGGCGTAATCGAATAACTTTGGCTGCTGGCTGGGTTTGAAACCTGTTGAATCAGGTAATAAGATTCTGAGCTTGCCGGTTCTTGGGATTGGAGCCCTGAGTTCTGATTGGTTTCCCGGCTCCGGTGGGCTCGCTCTGGTGGGGCTGTGGCCCCATTTGGTGCAGTAGTTGCGGGGGGCTCCCTTGAGTTGCGGCGATCACACAGATTCCACCCTTTGCAGAGGAGCCTGGAGTATTGTAAGGCCTCTTGGTTGTTCTCCCTCTTTTCTTTCTTTCCCATCCCCCCGTCTTTCCCTCTTTCCCCTGCTCTCCTCCCCCCTCTCTCTAGATGTTTTCCCTGCAACTTTTTGGGGGAGGGCACACCCGACTGTGCTCAGGGGTAACGCCTGGCTCTGCGCTCAGGGATGATCCTGGCGGTGCTTGGGGGACCGTATGGGCTGCCAGGAAGCGAACCCAAGTTGGCTGCGTGCGAACACCCTACCCGCTGGACTTTCTCTCCGGCCCTCTACTGATGATTTCTTCCCAGTTCCTGTGTGCCTCCCCTTCTGAAATGTCAGCTCAAGTGAAGGGCTTTGAGAGACCGTTGCTCCTCCGTTTCCCACACTCTGGCCTCCCTGCTGGGACTCTGCAGCTTCAGCCCCTGGGCCCTTCCTTCCGTTTGACTCCCGTGTCAGCATTCCCTCTGCAGAGACAAAGGCGCTGCTGCGCTCAGCCTGGTCCCATTTTCCTGTGTAGTGCCGATGTGACTGCCTCCTCCAGGCAGGCGCTCGGGTGCCCGCTGTGCCTTCGCTCCAGCATGAGTGAACGCCTGCCTGGGAGTACCGTCCTTACAGCTCATGCCGTCGGCGCCGCTCCGGTGTGCGCTCTGTCTTTCTCAGTTGCTGGGGAGATGCGTGACTGTGCGGAAGTGGCCCACTGCGGGTCCCAGTGAAAGCCCCTTTCACAGCCCCGAGAAGGGTTTGCTGGTGTCGCTTAGTTTAGGTTCCTTATTCCCTGCTGTGCCTCACGACTGCCAGCGCATTTTCAGTCCTGCCTCCCTCCTTCAGCAAAGGAGTCCGGATCTCTAGGGGCTGAGGGGCTGTTTCCATTCGCTCTGTGACTTGCAGTCCAACCAGCCTTTCCGCAAATCTCAGGTCCAGGTGTCCCAGACATGGTGGGTGCTGGCGGATCCAAGGAACACAGTCTGTCCTGAGTTTATTGTAAGACTGGCCAAATAGGGGCCAGGGAACTAGCCCAGAGCGCCGGGGGGCATTCTTCGCACATGGGGGAGGCCCGGATTCAATCTTTGGCACTGTGCAGTTAGTTCCCCCTGCAGTGCTGAGAGCAGCCCCCAGGAGCAACCCCCTGTACCACCAGATGTGGCCTAAGGGCTGGGGGAGGGGTCGGGGAGCAAGATTGGCCCAATAGGTGGGGATGTCATGGTGTAATTAGCTCATGCTCCAGTATTTGTTAAATCCTGATGGAGGGGGACAAGATTGGCTTTGTAGACTCTCAGAGCTGGAGCACTCTGCTTTTGCCTGACTTTATAGCACATCAGTAACGGCTTGCCCGTATTCAGATTCCAGGGTGAATGTTTTCACGACAGTTCTTTCCCGTGCGAGTGTTGTGAGAAAGGCGAAGAGCCTCCGGGGGCCATTGAGAAAGCTGGTGTCTATAGATTAGTGCTGGTAAAAGGGCCATTGAGAAAGCTGGTGTCTATAGATTAGTGCTGGTAAAAAGGCTGCGAGCACAGGCACGGGAGTACATTTGATTTCTGTTCACTGTAAAATTAGAATCAGCCAGTTAAATACCTGATTCAGGATCCAAAAGATAAAGGGGCGGAGAACGAGCTGTCGGGGCGTGTGCCTTGCTGCAGCTTCCTGGGTTTGGCACAGCATGGTCCCCTGAGCATCGCCAGGGCTGATCCCTGAGCACTGCCAGATACAACCAAAAAACAAAGACAGTAGAAAGCATTTAGAACATACAGAGGGCGAGTACAGCAGGGAAGGCTCTTACCTTGCAGGAGTAAGCCCTCGGCACAGCCAGGTGTGGCCCAAACCCCCCACCCCCCAAAGAGAAACAAAACATAAAATGTGAAGCCTGAGTGGGTTGGGAGTTTGCCTTGCACGTGGCCAACCTGGGTTTGATTCCAGGCATCCCCTAGCACTGCCAGAAGTAATTCATGAGTGCAGAGCCAGGAGTAACTCCTGAGCGTCGCTGGGTGTGACCAAAAAAAGAATAAAAACATATTAAATGATACATACAATAAAGTCCTGTAGTCTGTTTTTTCTGAAAACCTGCAGTTTCTCTTACTTGCTTACCACACACACGGCAGCTCCCATTGCACTTCTCGGCTTTTTGCCACTCTTGGAGATTATTTAATATCAGTATATGAAGCATTTTCTCCCCTTTCTATTTGGGGTGGGGGAAGGGGTTGGGCCACGCCCAGGATGCAGGGCTTGCTCCCAGCTCTGTGCTCAGGGGTCCTGCCAGTGCCGAGGGGACCGTGAGGTGGTGCTGGGGATTGAGCCAGGGTCAGCCACATTCGAGGGAAGTGCCTTCCCCCCTACTCTGTCTTTGTTATCTCTCTGGCCCCATACTCTTTCTTTTTTCTTTTTAGTGACACAATTTTATGGTATAGCTCTACCACAGTATTAACATATTGTTTAATACATATTGTAGTTTATATTGTCTTATATAACGTATATCAAGTATAGATTCTATATGTTTTGTCTGGGGGCCACACCCGGTGGTGCTCAGGGCTTACCTCTGCTCTGCACTCAGGTATGACTCCTGGCATTCGGGGACCCTATGGGATCAAACCCAGGTCGGCAGCATACAAGCCAGGCGCCCCACCTGTGGCGCTGTCGTTCTGGCCCCACTTTTATATTTTAAAACTTGAGGCCAAACCTGGTGGTGCTCGAGCTTCACCTCGGGGTGCTTGGCGGTTGCTCCGGGGAGCATGCAGTGTTGAGGGCCGAAGCTTGGGACTGGTGCGTGCAAAGCACGTGCTCTGGTCCTGGGCTCATCTCCCTGCCCCCGCGACATAATGTAGTAATGTACAAGATCATTTGATTTTTTAGAAGGAGTGGGCAGCGGGTTGGGAGAAGCAGCGTCTGGACTTGCACAGGAAACCGGCCGCGCGAGAGACCCTGCGAACGTGGGTTTCTGCCCGCCTGTGGCTCAGACTGAAGTCTGAGTAGACACATGATGAAATCATGTGTTCCTGATGGTAATTTATTTGTAAAGTGCCTTTCCTCATAATAGCTGACGGAGACGCTGGAGGTCTCACGAGGCTGAACTGCAGGCAGGTCGAACTAAAGAGCCAGACTCGCAGTCCCTCGGGCCTGGGAGAAGCAGATGGCGAGGGCGAGGGCGAGCTCGGTGCCAGCCCCGCTCCACCCTGCCGGCACACACACGCCTGGTTCTCCCTGCAGCCTGGGGGAGCAGTACTACAAGGATGCCATGGAGCAGTGCCACAACTACAATGCCCGCCTCTGTGCCGAGCGCAGCGTGCGCCTGCCGTTCCTGGACTCACAGACGGGAGTCGCCCAGAGCAACTGTTACATCTGGATGGAGAAGCGGCATCGTGGTCCAGGTGAGGCTCCCGGCCCGGCGGGAGGAAGCAGCCGCCGTCGACCAACCAGGGCCCTGTTGGTCACTGGTTGATAGTATTTCTCATAACTTAGGGCATGTGCCTGGGATTAGGCTCCCTGCTTCCCACCCGTGTCCTGAGCACACAGGATCCCACCGGCTTGTTCGTTTTCTGCCCTGCAGCGGCTTCTAGAACTATGTGTTATTCAATCTCTTAAGCTTACATTTGTCTCAAAAGGGGGGGGAGGGATTGTTTAAAGGTGTTCTGGGGGACGACTCGATGTTTGGGTGGGTTTTTTTTGTTTTTGCTTTTGTTTTTAAATAAACTTCACCTTCCTTCCCTCTCCTCACTGTCCTGACTCCTGGTGTGCTTTGGAACTCAGGGGCCCTGTTGGTCACTGGTTGATAGTATTTCTCATAACTGGCTTTGGTCTTGATCTCCCTCTCTCCCCTTGCCATAGGATTAGCTTCGGGGCAGCTGTACTCCTACCCGGCCCGACGGTGGCGGAAAAAGCGGCGAGCCCACCCTCCTGAAGACCCAAGACTTTCCTTCCCATCTATTAAACCAGGTGACGCACGCGCCCCTCGTAGCTAGAGAGCCTGCTGCGATCGCGCCGTGCCCCAGGTCATGCAGAAGCAGGAAGAGAGTTAAGATGTGAATCCTGCTAAAGAACCCCGTTTAGGGGCTGGGGCGAGAGCACCGTGGGGAGGGCACTCGCCTTGCACACGGTCAGCCTGGGTTCCGTCGCCAGCGTCCCATATGGTTCCTGAGCACTCCCAGAGGTGGCATCAGAAACAGAAGAACCCAGTATAGTCGGGGAGTCAGGGAAATAGAGAAGCTTGGGGACTGAGTCAGCATGGTGTCTTGGTTCTGGAACTTGAAGGCAGCGACTGGCCTGGGGCTGGCCCAGCCCTCGAGCCCCAAGTGGGCGCCTCGCACTGAGCCTGCCCTGCCCCGACTCTGCTTGCAGACACAGACCAGACCCTGAAGAAGGAGGGGCTCATCTCTCAGGATGGCAGTAGTTTAGAGGCATTGCTGCGCACGGACCCCCTGGAGAAGCGAGGTGCCCCGGATCCCCGAGTGGACGACGACAGCCTGGGCGAGTTCCCTGTGACCAACAGTCGAGCGCGGAAGGTACGTGACTAACACTGGTGGCACCGGCCAGCGCCTCTGCTTCAGAGGCCACCCTGTGAACGGAATGGCTTCAGCAGCGGGGGGCCAGGCGCAGACCCCTGCACCTCACGACAGTCCTGTGTTGTGACTGTCGGGGCCATGGCCATTTGGCCATCTGTCCAGTCTGTCCTGCTCCTTACCTCCGCATACAGGCACGCTTACTCCCTTTCACAGAGGATTTTGGTACTTTAGGTCGTGCAGATGACGGGAGATATGTCTGCAGGCTAGGGACAGTGCTCAGCTGACTAGGAAGGAATCTCAGACTCGATCCCCTTAGTACCACTGGGAGTGGCCTCAGGGTACTGAGCCAGGAGAAACCTCTGAGTACTAGCAGGTGTGGCCCCCAAAAAACAAACTAAACAAGAGCTAAAGGTTGGGGTAGTACTGGGAGGGCCCGCGCTCGGCACGCAGTAGCCCCAACATTACGGCCTCTGAGCACCACCAGGAGGGCCGAAAGATAGGAAGGTAGGAGAGCTACAAACCTGCCAGGCACTGTGCTCAATGCTCCCTCTGCAGTCCACACTTGGCAGCGCCAAAGGGAGCAGTTTTAAAATCCTTCCCAGCTGCCAGAGAGCCAGTGCAGTGGGTGAGCCGCCTGTCTCGCACACAGCCAGCCCGGGTGCTGTCCCCAGCAACGAATGGGGTTCCCCAAGGCCCGCCAGGAGTCATCCCTCACCACAGAGACAGGAGGAAGTCCTGATGTCACAGTCTTGGCTCAAATCCCTGGACACCTACACACAACCTTCCCGTGAGCTCATGTTTACCTTATGCTCGAGGGTTGCACCTGGCGTGGCCGGGACGGAAGCTGGGCCTCCATGCCGCGCCCCCCTCGGCCATCTTCCTGACCCCACGGCTCTTAGAGCTGAGAAGTGAGACTGGAAGGGGACCAGAGTCAGGAATACCCCTGGGCATCACCTGGTGTGGCCCCAAACCAAACAGAGGGGCCAGGGTGATGGCACAGCGGGGAGACCGTTTGCCTGTGGCTGGCCCGGGTTCAATCTCCGGCAGCCCATACGGTGCTCTCAGCACCTCTAGGGGTGATCCCTGAGCCCAGAGCTAAGAGTAACCCCTGAGCATTGCCGGTGTGGCCCAGAAAAACCCCCATAAAACCCGTCCTGACCTCTCAGCGCATCCTAGAACCGGATGATTTCCTCGACGACCTTGACGATGAGGACTATGAAGAAGACACTCCGAAGCGCCGGGGCAAGGGCAAATCCAAGGTGAGGGGCCCGGCGCGGGAGGAAGGGTGGGAGCGAGGGGGCCCTGCAGCCTGCTGCTTTGTGGCTTTTTGTGACCTCTGTCCCTTTCTTCGGAGATCTGCCACCTTTTCTGAGGTGGGGGGGTGGGTGGGCCCCCTGGGGCCTGACAGCCTAGTCAGGGCATCTTGTGGCTCTTCGCAGGGTAAAGGCGTGGGCAGTGCCCGCAAGAAGCTGGACGCTTCCATCCTGGAGGACCGGGACAAGCCCTATGCCTGCGACAGTGAGTGCCTGCCACGGGGCGGGGTGTGCTCGGGAGAGGAGAGGAGGGGAGGGTGTCCGCGCTTAGAGGGGAAACTGAGCCTGGGCTCCTGTCCTGCCTGGCAGCTTGTGCCCTCTGAGACCCTGCAAGGCCCTGGCCTCTGCTACTGGATGGGGGCCTGCATGCTCGGGGCCAGATTCCCGCTGCCCTGGGGGGCGGGGGTGGGGGGCGCGCACAGCAGGCCGGTCGACCTCCGGGTCTGCCGGCCCAGCTCCAGCCACGGCCCCAGAGCCCGGCCCAGGTCCCCGGTGTCTGTCCTCACTCTCCCTCTCTGACTCGCCCCACTCTGTCCCTCCGCTCTGGGAGCACCGTCGCCGCTGGGCCTCTCTCTGGTCTGCTCCGCTTTCCTGCCGCGCCGCTCCTGTCTCGAGTGTGTCGAGGCCTTCTTCTCATGACTTTTCTTTCTGTCTTTCAGATAGTTTCAAACAAAAGCATACCTCGAAAGCGCCCCAGAGAGGTAGCTCTCTCCACTTTTCAGACTTGTGGTTTTCCTGTCCCTTTTCCCTCCTGTGTGTGTCTGCGCCTCATCTGTGCCGCTGGTTTCACAGTCTCTGGAATGGCCGGGGGAGGGGCGGGGTGTCCGCTGTGCGCTCCCCGTCACCGTCTGGACGTGCCCCTCGCGCCGCTTGGCCCCCAGGCTCGCTCCGGGGCTGCTTGGGCCCACTGCATGGGGTGGCCTCAGAGCAGGGCAGGGGGCCCGTTACCAACAGCCCTCTGCTCCCCCTGCCCCAAGACACACACTCGGTGGTCGACTCAGGTCCCTGCCTCCCGCCACCTCCTCACCTGTCCTCTCCCCTCTGTCCCCTGACATGCGGCCCGTGCTGTCACTCTCAAGGTTTCCAGATGCCTCTTGGGAATCTGCTCCTTGCTGGTCGGAGGGGCTGGGCAGGGCTTGGCTGTGGGGGTCTTGGGGCTTCTCTGGAGAGCGGCGGGCGAGCCTGGCCACACTGCTCCCTGCACCTCTGTCCACTTCAGCAGAGCTGGGCTCTGGGTCAATTTGGAGTCCCTTGCCTGCAAGACTCCAGATACTCCTTTTCCTTCCAGGACCATTCCCAGAGGGAGCAGGGGCGGGTCAGGGCTGGGCCCCCTAGCCGGCCGGTGTGGACGGGGAAAGCTGGCCGTGGGCTGGGCGTTAGCTGGGAAGCAGGGCGGGGGCGATGCCCGGGGCCTGCTCCTGACCCCTGACCCAGGGGAGGTGGCCCTGTGAGCGTGCGCCCGGGCAGGTCAGTGGAAGCCCCCGCCCGGAGGGATGGGTGAGGTACGCTGGGACCCTCACCCTGTTGTCGTGGTCTTCTCCCCGCTCAGTTTGTGGGAAGCGCTACAAGAACCGGCCGGGCCTCAGCTACCACTACGCGCACTCGCACCTGGCTGAGGAGGAGGGCGAGGACAAGGAGGACTCGCAGCCGCCCACCCCGGTCTCCCAGAGGGCCGAGGAGCAGAAATGTAAGCTGCGGGGCCAGGGCAGGGGCCTGCTGCCAAGTGGCGCAGGTGGCTTCAGAGCTCTCGCTCTCCCCGCAGCCAAGAAGGGCCCCGATGGCTTGGCCCTGCCCAACAACTACTGCGACTTCTGCCTGGGCGACTCCAAGATCAACAAGAAGACGGGGCAGCCCGAGGAGCTGGTGTCCTGCTCCGACTGTGGCCGCTCAGGTACCGCCACGCCCGCCGCCAGCACCGCTCCCACGCGCTCTCCCCCACGCCCAGGGGCTGTCACAGTGCGCAGGCGCCTGTTTCACTCGCTCCTCCCACCCCCCCACAGGGCACCCGTCTTGCCTGCAGTTCACGCCGGTGATGATGGCGGCGGTGAAGACCTACCGCTGGCAGTGCATCGAGTGCAAGTGCTGCAACATCTGCGGCACCTCCGAGAACGACGTGCGTGTCCCCCTGTGCGCTCCTCCTCTGTCCCCCTCCGTGGCTTCCTTGGTCTGGCGAGCAGGCCCCCCCCCCCCCCCCCCAGCGTCCCAGCCGGAACTCGGGTTGGTCTGGCAGGTTCTCATGGCACGTGCTGGGTGCCAGGTGCGCTCCAGGCACTGAGCGAGAACAGGGAGGGCGTTGTCACATTCAACGCTCCATGGGGACACCAAGGATCATGGATGTCGGTGACATTTTGGTGATGTGATGTGCTGAGAAGAGAAGGAAGTGAGTAACGGCAGAGTCACTGGGTAGCCGAGTTAGGTAGTCAGGAGACGGTGTCACAGAGGGACCCGCATGCCACTGTGACGGAAGAACGTTGCCAAGAAAGGAGCAGCTTGCGCGAGGCCTGAGGCAGCCAGGTGTCGCTGGGTGTCCTGAGACCACGTGGGCGCAGGAGCCTTCCCGCAGTGGGCGAGCTGTTGGGAGCTGGGAGGTCCCATAAGGACGCATCGGGAGGCACCTGCCCGGCCGCCTGGGCTGCCGCCGCTCCCTGCCCTGTTCTCTTGGACATAGCCACAGTCTGCAGCACTGTTCCCACTGCCCGCCTGGAGCCCGTGGTCACTCGTCCCCACCCCTCCTCTCTACAGGACCAGCTGCTCTTCTGTGACGACTGTGACCGCGGCTACCACATGTACTGTCTCACTCCGTCCATGTCGGAGCCTCCGGAAGGTAAGCTGGCACCGCCTGTCTCTGTCCAGCGCTCCCGTTACCAGCTGGGAGCTTCCTCCTGGCCCTGCACTCAGGGGTCTCTCCTGATGCTCGGCACTGTCTGGGTTGCCGGGGATTGAACTCGGGAAGGGAGCTTGCAAGGAAAGCTCCCTGCCAGCTGTGTTCCCACTCGGGCCCTGCAAATCAGTTTTCTCAGCAGTTCTTTATTCCAAATTCAGGAGTCCCGGGGCTAGAGAGATAGTGTCCGGATTAAAGTGCTCACCTTGCATCCCATCTACCCTGCTTTGTAGCCAGAGGCTGCATATGGTCGCCTGAGCACTGCGGTGTGGTCCTGCACTCCCCACCCCCCAGAAAATCAATTGGTAGGAGTTGGCACTTAGTTGTTTGGTTCAGAGGCGTTTCTTGCATCTTAGCATCACGGGATTCCCATTTGCACGGTATTCGCCAGGGCTGTGTGGACTTGCCGAGAGACGGTCACTGGCAGTGTTGGATCTGCCTCCTCCCATCCAAAAACTTGGCTCGGAGCTTGTCTGACGGACACGCTGGTATCAGCTCTCCAGACTTGATGGGCAGTGCCCACTGCTCCCCGCCTGACCCCTCCCCCGCACACACACACATACACACATACACACACTCACACACACACATACACGCTGGCAGTTCATTTCCTGAAGCTGTGGGTTTACAGATGCTGCTGTCAGTAGTGCCACCAAAAAGTTGGGCAGCCAGCCACAAATCTTTAAAAGGCATGGGGTGGGGGGGATTTGAAAGTTGAGCCAAGGAGAGGGCTCTGAGATTTGGAGCATCTCCTAAGCATGGGGAACACTGGGTTTGATCCCCGGCACTGCATGGTCCCCTGAGTACCATGAGGTACGGGCCAAGGACCACCAAACAAAAATCAGTCCAACGGTTCCCCTTAACTGTCAGTGTCGCCAAGGACAGGGTAGTGTCATGGGGAGGAGGCAGACTGCTGTCCCCTCCAGGGAGGCCTCTGATGTGGCGGTGTGTCTACGCCCTGCCCAGTTTACCGATCTGCTTGTGGAGAAGTGGCGTGTTTTGTCTTGAGCGGTGAAACAACATACAGGGGCAGAGAGTACAGTGGCTCAGGTGCTTAGCTTGTATGCAGCTGCCAAGCCCTTGGTGCCACATACGGTCTCCTGAGCCCACCAGGAGTAAACCCTGAACACAGTGGGTGTGGTCTGAAAACAAAACGCAAAAAAAAAATAATCAAGATAACATAGAATTTTGTATTTATCCTATATGGGGGCCAGAGAGTAGGCCACTGACCTTGCACACGGCATCCAATATGGCCCCCCAACCCCCGAGCATCACTGGGTGTGGTCCAAAAAATACAGAACCAACCAGCCATAGAGGCACCCTCTCCCAAAGAAAAGCATGTGCCTAGGCCTCCCGGGAGATTGCCTTCTTGGATTCCATCCTTGGCTCCGCACGGTCCCAGGAGCAGCCCCTAAACATCACCAGATGTGGCCAACCTGCCCCCCACCCCCGCCGGTGTGTGCCTCTCCCAAAAAAGGAACATTCTGGTTCTGGTTTAACAAGCAGGAGGCCTGAGGGGCCATGCTCAGAATGGGACTCCAGGTGAAGCCAACTTGTCTCTGGGAACTACTTCTGGAGCTCCTTGCAGACCCAGAGGTTCTTTGGGGCTCGGGTTCCCCGGGCTCCTGTGCTCCTGGAGGGTGTCTGTCCTGTAGCTGATGGCAGTGTTCGGGTGGGCCTGGGGTGTGGGGCAGTGGGTCCGGGCTGTGTGTGACACCCCCCCCCCCCCCCCGCCCGTTTGCTTCCCCGCAGGGAGCTGGAGCTGCCACCTGTGTCTGGACCTGCTGAAGGAGAAAGCGTCCATCTACCAGAACCAGCACTCCTCCTGATGGGCCGCGCCGCTCGCACGCGTCTAGGGCTCTCCTTCCTCTCTCGTCTTTCATACCCACTTTGTCCTTCTTCCTCCTCTTTCACAAGTCCAGAGAACCTTGGGGTGGTCGTGCCAACCTGCCTTTGGCAGCAGCAGACTGAGGTGGCGGCTCTGACCGCCTCAGCCCCAGGCCCTGGGGAGAAGGCCCAGGCGCACTGCCCCAGCGTCCCCGCGGGCCAGCTTCCCATGCGCTCCTGAATGCATTCACTCTGCCTGCCTTGGGCCCGCGCCCTGGCCTCTGAGAAGGGGTGGGGAGCAGTTCCTTCCTTCTCCGCTCCATCTGGTGGCGGGGCCGGCCGGGCCGGGCTGGGCTTCCTTTCCCCGGGGGCGCAGGTCGGGCGACCAAGGCCGTGCTTGCAGGAGCTTTCCTTGCCCGTCGCGCTGCTTCGCCTGACCTCTGCTCCCCAGGATCCTTGGCTGAGCCAGGATGCTCTCGGTCACCCCCGGGCTCTGCCCCGCCCCACTGCACCCCAGCGCAGGGGAGTCGCAGCTCACCCGGACTCTGCCTTTTGCTCACCTGGTTGCTCTCACAGGTGGTCCCTAGCGACCGAAGCATTCGGCACCCTTGGGACTTGCTATCTTCTGCCCTTCCCCCTTATTCCTTTGGCTTTGTGGGGACGGGGAAATGTCGGGGCCAAGGCAGCAACTTGGGGGCCGCAGGGAGATGTTGGATAATGTGCCTGTTTTTTAACTTGATGAAAAAGCCTACCTCCGAAATCCCCTTTTTTGTTCTTCCTGGACCCGGGCACTCAGCTCCTGCCCGTAACTGAATTGGAAGCTCTGCCTCCTGCTCTCCCCGGCTCCTGGCTCCGGGGGCCGGCCTGGACAGTACCTTCTGCCCTTGCACGCTCACTAGCAGCTGGTAAGGTATTCACACCCCGATTCCGCATTTCCCGCCTGGTGACACTGATGTGAAATAGTGGGGGGCCAGTTCCTCCCAGGGTACCCTGGAGCCGCGTCCCCTCGGCAATGGGCAGGCCCTAATTCACTTGTTGCTTTGGAGTTGAGGAGTCTTTTTCTTTTCTTTCTTTCCTTAGTCCCTGTACTCGAAACATTAGTACAAATAAATGTTTTTACACAGAGCCCCCTGCTGGATGCGTTCACTTCCGACTCCCTTTCCTGCTTAGGACAGCTGCTTTGCAAGTGCCCTTGCTGGGGACAGCGAGTTGTTTTTTCTGAGTTTTGCTTAGTGTAGGGGTTAGTGGGTTTTCAATGTTTTGAAATGCATGTCCCTGAGCCCCCACAAATAGCAATTTTTAAATTGGGTATATTGGTGGGGCTGGAGTGATAGCACAGCAGGTAGGGCATTTGCCTTGCACGCAGCCAACCCGGGTTTGATTCCCATATGGTCCCCCCAGCACCCGGGTTTGATCCCATATGGTCCCCCCAGCACCGCCAAGAGTAATTCCTGAGTGCAGAGCCAGGAGTAACCCCCGTGCATCACCGGGTGTGACGCCCCCCAAAAAAATTTGGGTATATTGGTTAATCTCTTGGAGAAGTTCAAGTTATAATCACACCTTAGTAAAAAGAACTATGGGGCAGGACAGTGTACAGGAGATAAATTGCTAACCTTGCATGCTGCTGACCCCGCTACAAATCCCACACCAGATGTGGTCCCCATGAGCACCTCTGGATATGGAGCCAACCTCATCTCCCCCACCCCCCAAAGAATCATAAACTTGTGAAGTTGCTTTGACTATTATATTATTTGAGTTACAATCATATTTAGCATCTTGTGTACTTCAGTCTTGGTTGGTTTTGAGAAAGTTGTGCTGGATTTAATGGCAGATTTATGGCGATTGGTTGGCCTTGCAACTTCATATAGTTAAAATGTGTCTAGAGGTTTGATCACTAAATAGAGAAGAATCCTATAAGGAAACTAACGCCTCCTGAGCAGATCTAGATGTGAACTGGGGGAGCAGGGCTGTGCTTGACTCTGTCTTGGTGCTTGGCCTTCCCTTCCCGGATGTGAAAACACGCAGGAATGTTTCTCTGCCCTGCAGCCAGCATCCTCACATGTATTTCACTAGACATGTTGTAAAAATCTAAGTTTTTAGAAGCAGACGTGAATCAGCCGCAGAAGTATCCTGAGCAATTTTGGGAACAATCTGGAAGTGGCTGTTAACTTGGAGCCTGTTTTGGGCCATTCAGAAAAGATGCAGGATTCTCGGGACTGGGGGTGGCATGAGGATCAGGCCAGGGAGTCTTGGCGGTCCCTGGCACCCCATGGCACCACCAGTTGTGGCCAAAAAACAAGTCTAAACTTAAGTAGAACTGAAAACCAACCCTGATGATTGAGTGGACTAAGGGTCAGAAAAGAAATGAGAGGGGGTGGAAAAGGGAAAGGAAATTTGGAAAGGGCTTGTGAGAGCGGAGGTAAATAGGACAGAAGGGTAAAGGGGGTGGCCAGAAGGTGGGAGCTCCGGTGTGTGGCCGCAGCCTCCCACCCTGAGGGGCGGGGAGCAGCTGGGAGCGCCGGACCACAGGTGAAACGATCCAAGAACATGCAGAAGCAGAACAGCGTTGCCGAGACAAGGAGTGACCGGGGTCTAAGAACCGGGTCTTACCGGCGGGCCGGCCTGACTGGCCCGACCTAGCTGTGGCCCCGGGAAAGTTTGTGATAATTGGACTGTTGACCCGAGGCCAGCGCCGGCGATGGCTTTTGCCCCTAAAGCTTGCGTTCGTTTTCTCAGCCACGTTAGCCCGATTTGGAAAATGTGGTTTCTGGGTCCGCCCAGGGACGCAGCCAGCGCTCGGGTACCAGTGCTGCCCCGAGTCTGGGGGTGCCCCAATGGCCAGGTCCGCTGGCGAAGACGGATCTGGGGTCTCCCGCCGCGTCCGAGCTCCGCCCCGCGCCCCCCGCCCTTGCCGAGCTCAGGGACCGCCGCTTCGGAAGCGTCCAATGAGGGCGGGGCGGGGCGGGGCGGGGCGGCGTAAGAGCCAATCGGGGCGAGGGGGCGGGGCTGCGGCGGGGGAGCCGAGCGGCCGCCCCGCGGTCCTGCAGCCCCGGGAGAGCCCGGCGCGGGCGAGCCCGGGCCCCGCTGTGCGCGTACCCGCCGCCCGTTCGCCCGCCCGCCCGCGCCGCCCTCCGGGTCGTGGCGCCCAGCCGCGGGACTGGGATCCGGGGCAGGGGTGGGAGCTGCGGGACGAGCGCCTGAGGTGGGTGCGGAGCGGGAGGCCGGGAGCGGGAGGCCGGCCGGCGGGCGGGTGTCCAGGCGCCGGGGCCGGCCCGCCGACGGGCCCCGCGTCGAGGTGGGGAGAGGCCGGCCGGGGTCCCGAGCCCCGCACCCGCCCGCTGCGTTGGTGCCACTCTCCTCCCGCACCACCACGCCCCTCGGGACACCCGCTCTCGCTGCCCACAGCCCCCTCACCCCTCTCCTTTGTCGCCCGTGCACCTGCCCTCCGGGCCTGCGCGCCCACGCCGGAAGAGACCCGCAACCTTCGGGCCCCAGGACCCAGCACCGGATGACCCGCGCTCCTTCAGCGCCCGCGCCCCTCTTTGTCATCTGTACACCTGTGACCTCAACTCTTGGTCCACTCCCCGACAAGGCCCCCCACCCCACCCCTCTCGGGGCCAGCACCCCTCCCCCAGCGCCGCCCGCTCCCCTTCACCTGCCCTGCTGAGCACAAGCCGGTCCTGCTGGGCCATCTCCTTTGTTGTCGCTGCAGCTGTCCCCTCCGCTGTTCATCCTTCTCCCCCAGTCCAGCTCCCACCTCCCCACCCAGATCCCCTCTCTGACCAGTGGGCTCCGCGGCCCGGCTCAGGGGGCCACATCCCTGGGCTCCCACTCTGCGCTCCAGCCCGTCCCCTGTGGCCAGCGGGTCTGTCCCCTCGGGGGCTGCCCTCACCTCCAGCCTCAGCCTCTCCCCGCGCCCCACACGGCCGGGGCAGCCATGGAGCTGAGTCACAAGAAGAAGCTGCACGCGCTCTCCCTGGCCGAGAAGATCCAGGTGCTGGAGCTGCTGGACGAGTCCAAGATGTCACAGTCGGAGGTGGCGCGGCGCTTCCGGGTGTCCCAGCCGCAGATCTCCCGCATCTGCAAGAACAAGGAGAAGCTGCTGGCCGACTGGAGCAGCGGCACCGCCAACCGGGAGCGCAAGCGCAAGCGCGAGTCCAAGTACAGCGGCATCGACGAGGCGCTGCTCTGCTGGTACCACATCGCCCGCGCCAAGGCCTGGGACGTGACGGGGCCCATGCTGCTGCACAAGGCCAAGGAGCTGGCCGACCTCCTGGGCCAGGACTTCGTGCCCAGCATCGGCTGGCTGGTCCGCTGGAAACGCCGCAACAACGTGGGCTTCGGGGCGCGCCCGGGGCTGCTGGCCCCCTGCCCTCTCGAGCCGCCTCCCCCCAGACCCCCGGCCCGGGCCCCGCGGCCTCTCTCCCTGGCAGACTTCTCCCCAGAGGATGTGTTTGGCTGTGCCCAAGTGCCCTTGCTCTATCGGGCAGTGCCCGGTGTCCAAGTGGGAGCCTCTGATGAGGTCCACGTGCTGTTGTGTGCCAACAGCGGGGGCACAGAGAAACGGCGACTCGTGATCAGTGGGCCCCAGGCGGCTTCTGGATGCTTCTTCGGGGTCACGAGTGAGGCTCTGCCTGCCTCCTTCCACTCAGAGCCGGGCATCCCCTGGTCGGTGTGGCTGGCACAGCTTGACCGGGACATGGGGCGGCAGGGCCGGCAGGTGGCCTTGCTGCTGGCTGCCCACACTGGGGAGGAGCTGGCAGGTGTCCCCGGGCTCTGCCATGTGCGGCTCTTGCCTCTGCCGGCCGGTACCGCCCCCTCCCTGCCCAGGGCCGTGATCCGAGCCTTCAAGACCCATTACCGACTGCGGCTGCTGGGCAAGTTGGCCGCTGCCCGGGGCCAGAGCCCCAGCACATCGCTGGCCCAGGCGGGCGCCCGTCTCACCATCCTCGACGCCCTGCACCTGGCCGCAGCGGCCTGGGCCAAGGTCCCTCCCCAGCTCATCGTGGGCAGCTTCATTCAGGAAGGGCTGGCACGGGACAAGACGCTCCTGGCCCCAGCCCGTGCCTCTGCGATGCCCCCGGTGCCCGGGGGGCTGAGCCCCGAGGAGTTCGCCCGCTTTGTGGACCTTGAAGACGAGCAGCCCGCATCCTCGTCGTGCAAAGAGGAGGTAGGCGCCGCAGACCAGGAAGACAGTGCAGACAGCGGCTCGGAGGTTCTGCCCACCCACGCCGATGCTCTCCGCGCCCTGGGCACGCTGAGGAGGTGGTTTGAGTGCAACGGCGCCTCCCCGGAGCTGTTTGAAAAGTTCTACGCGTGCGAGGAGGAGGTGGAGCGGATCTGCTGTCTGTGATGGCTGCGGGGAGCCCTCACAGCTCCCCGGGACGCCGTCTGTTGTGTTTCCCATGGAAACGCCCAGGGACTGGTCTCTTTCCTGTGGAAATGGAGCTTTGGTGAAGGGTGCAGAAGGGAGACGGGTGGGAGACCAAGTAGAAGTTCTGGGCGGAAGTTTGTCTAGGCCCCCCGAGAAGAAAGCCTGAAGATGGGGTGCCCGGAAACGAGGAGCCTCTCAGGAGGAAGGCATGACTTGTTTTGATCGTCTGGTTTGGGGCCACACTCAGCAGTACTCAGGGGTTACTCCTGGTGGCAGGATGCCAGGGATTGAACCCGGGTCGGCAGTTTACAAGGCCTGTGCCCACCCCGCTGGTCTAATCTCCAGCCCATGACTTTCCGAACAGAGAATTGGAGTCTTGCTGACAAGGTCGGTTCCTTGAAGTCTGGATTTAAAACGCTTGTGCTGCTGGAAATCAAGTTTGGGTCTTGGTCTGCACTTGCTCTTCTCAGGGCTTACTCACGGGTGTACGCTCAGGAGATGCCTACGGGGTGCCAGGGACCTTACCCACAGCGGCCACACGCAAGGCAGACGCCCTGCCCTGTGCCCTCGCTCGCTCACTCTCTCTCTGCCCCCTGGAAATAAAGTTTTTAAGCAACAACAAAAGAGGCCAGAGTGGTAATGTAGAGAGGCCAAGGAGCACCACAGGTGGCTGAGCTGTCTGTCCCCAACCCCGGCCTATCCAGCATCTCCCAGAGAACGGAGAACCCCTCCACGCCTCAGGGGCCCCCAGTTCTGTGAGCCGTGGCGAGGGCTGTGACCGGGAAACAAGGAGCGAGGTCCCAGGTTATTGGCTTGGGCCGACACGTGTGTCTCTGTTGCAAGAACCAGAGGTGACTCCTGGGTCCGTCAGCCTGGGGGTCTCCTGGAGGAGGTGGGCAGACAGAGGGGAGGGAAGGAAAGGTCAGGTTCAGAGGCCGCCTGGGGGAGGCACAAGAGGCCTAGGGAGATGTGAGCACTGCAAGGTTGGTGGGGGGCTTCCAGGGGGTGGGGCCTGCAAGACAGATTGTTGGGGGGCACCTCAGACAGCAGAGACTGAAGAGCAAGTCAAAGGTGTGAGCCCTAGCGGCGGAGGTGGGCTTGAGGCCCGAGGTCCAGGGGTACCTTTAGGGCCAACGCGCCGCTGTTCTCCCTGCCAGGCCCAGGCCCGGGGCAGCCCCGCCTCACACGCCCAGGCCCCCTGCTGATGCCCCAGAACCGCTATGCCAGGCCTCGAATGAGCACCTTCCAGCCTCTCTGCCCATATTTGGGGTCTCTGTAGTGACACTCCACACCAGGCGTGACTCTGTTGGGGACTCTGGGAGTTAGTGCCGCTTCCTGCCTCTTGCTGGCTTGCAGCCGGGAGAGCTGTTGATGTCAGCCTGGAGGTTCATGGTACCCTGTACCTGGCTACTAGCTAGAACCAACCCCTCCCCCCAACTCCCTCCAATCCTGAACCCCATTTCAACTCCCCTGAGCGCCCCCAACTCTGTCTCTACCCCGCCACCCTTTTACTTTCCCCCAGATTCACGTCAACAAATTTTAATTTGGTTTTGTTTGGGGGTCACTCCCAGCGATGCTCAGGCCTATATGGGATGCCAGGGATCGAACCCAGGTTGATCACGTGTAAGACTCGTTCTGGCCCCCCCACCTGTAGCCATTTCACTGCTCACTTTTCTGGAAGCATTTCACCTCAAATCTGCCTCTAGGGGCTGGAGCAATAGCACAGTGGGTAGGGTGTTTGCCTTGCACACGGCCGACCTAGGTTCGATCTCCAGCATCCCAAATGGTCCCCTGAGCACCACTGGAGTAATTCCTGAGTACAAAGCCAGGAGAAACCCTTGTGCATCACCAGGTGTGACCCAAAAAGCAAAAAAAAAAAAAAAAAAAAAACCCACACAAAAAAATCTACCTTTATTTTTTCCCCCTTGTGTTTTTGGGGGCATACCCAGAGATGCCAGGGGCTACTCCCAACTCTGTGCTCAGGGATTGCACCCTCCAGTACTGGGAAACCTCAGGCCTCCTGTATGCAACACACGCTCCAGCCCTGAGCTCTGCCCGGCCCCACTTACCCCTTCTTTTATTTACTTATTTTGGCTTTTTGGGTCACGTTGGCGATATCTAGGGGTTACTCCTGGCTCTGCACTCAGGAATTACTCTTGGCAGTGCTCTGGGGAACTATATGAGATGTCAGGGATTGAACCCTGGCCGACTGTGTGCAAGGCAAACGCCCTCCCTGCTGTACTATTGTTCCAGCCCCAAGGTTTTTATTAAAAAAAATTAGGGGACCATACCTGGTAGTGCTTAGGGGTTACTCCTGGCTCTGTGCTCAGGGGTCACTCCTGGCCGGTTCAGAGGACTTTGGCGTGCCAGGGATTGAACCCGCATAAAAAGGCAAGTGCCCTACCTGCTAGTAGTACAATTGCTCTACCCCTGGTAGCTCATACTTGCAAAGAGACACCTACCATAATGAGCACCACCTCATATTCATTTTGGGGGGTCAGAACCAGCAGTGTTTGGGGTCTAGTCCTGATACATTCGTTGCTTGAGGGTTGCACCTAGCAGAGTTAGGGGGACTTGTGGTGCCAGGGATTGCGCCTAGGGCCCCAGCATGCAAAACAGGTGAGTGCTTCACTGCTGGCTATGTTCCCAGCTCCCTGTTTAATGTTTTATTTGTCTGTGGGGGCCACACCTAGTGGTACTCAGGACATACTTCTGGCTCTGCACTCAGGGTCAGTTCTGACAGACTTGGGGGACCATATGGGGTGCTGGGAATTGAACCGGGATCAGCCACATGCAAGTAGTATTGCTCCAGCCCCAACACAATAATTTTTATACTCTTGTTTCTTCTTTCATTCTTGTATATACACTCGAGTGTTTTGTTTTCTTTAAGAAATTTCCTTTTTCTGGGGCTGGAGCAATAGTACAGCGGGTAGGGCGTTTGCCTTGGACGCGGTTGACCCAGGTTTGATTCCCAGCATCCCATATAGTCCCCTGAGCACCGCCAGGAGTAATTCCTGAGTGCAGAGCCAGGAGTAACCCCTGTGCATGACCCAAAAAGCAAAAAAAAAAAAAAAAAAAAATTTTCCTTTTTCTGTTTGTTTTTGTTTGGGGGCAAATGCTCAGGTATTATTCCTGGCTCTGCACTCAGGAATTACTTGCCGGCGATTGAACCCCTGTAGGAGATCAAATCCGGGTGGGCCATCTGCAAGGTATCGAGTGCTTAATGCCTGGTTATTTTATATTTTCTGCCAGGTAAATCTGATCCCTGGAACCCTTGGGAGGCTAGAGCAGATTGCTTGTACCTGGCAGCCTTTCCCACTGTAGATCTGGTCATTTTGCCTTTGTGGGATTATCTTGATTGGTTGCATTAATCTGAGATCCTGAGACGTTTCCTTAGAAAAGCCTGCCAGGCCGGAGCGATAGTACAACGGGTAGGGCGTTTGCCTTGCACATGGCTGACCTGGGTTCAATCCCTGGCATCCTATATGGTCCCCTGAGCACCGCCAGGAGTAATTCCTGAATGCAGAGCTTGGAGTAACCCCTGAGTATTGCCAGGTATGACCCAAAAAGAAAGAAAGAAAGAAAACCTGTCATTACTACCACTAGACACAAGGGGGCGCCATGTCACGATAATTTAATTTCCCAGAGCCAGCGTCCTGACCTGAAGGTTGTAGGGTTTTTTTGTTTTTGTTTTTGTTTTGTTTTTTGTTTTTTGTTTTTTTTGCTTTTTGGGTCACACCCGGAGATGCTCAGGGGTTGCTCCTGGTTCATGCACTCAGGAATTACTCCTGGTGGTGCTCGGGGGACTCATATGGGTTGCTGGGAATTGAACCTAGGTCGGCTGCATGCAAGGCAAACGCCCTACCCACTGTGCTATTGCTCCAGCCCCTGTAGGGGGTTTTGGGGGTGTAGCTACTGGGTCACAAGGGAGCCGGGTCTAATTTTGTTTTGTTTGAGGGCCACATCTGGAGATGCTCAGGGCTTACTCATGGTTCTGTGCTCTAGGATCACTCCTGGGGGACTCGGGGGACCAGAAGGGGAGCTGAGAATTGAACCAGCGTGGGCCGTGTGCAGGACAGGTGGCTCTTATATCGGTTGACGAGGGCACTGGCCCATCTGCAGCTCCACAGTGAGGAGCTCTGAGGAGTCCAGGTGAGGGTGCGACATGGAGATGAGAACCCCATAAGGGATCTGACCCAAAGTGAGGGTGCACATACCTTGTGACCCCAAGTTTGATCCCTGGGCCTGAGCACCTGGGCGCAATACCCTCACAGCTGGGAAGGGCCCCAGCTCCTGGGCACAGCCAGGGAGGCCCCTCAGAAGGATCACACAGTGGTTTGGGGAGGAGGCCCCCCAAACAGGGATTTGGGGGACCCGGAGGCGGGCTCAGGCTGGTTGGAGCAGAGGAGGACCCGGAGGGAGACTCGCTTAGCTTTATTGCCGAGGGCCAGTGGCTGCTGCCTGCTGGGCAGACCCACCCCATCTAGCCCTCTCTTTCGAGATACCCCAAAAGGCCCCGGCAGGCAAACTTCAGTGAGGGGGGAGTGCAGTCTGAGGAAGTCAGAGCAGTTGGGGTGCGGGGAGATGTCGGCGGTGGCACTTCAAGGAACAAACACGGAGGCATGAGCTGCTAGCGGGGGCAGGACCCGACCCGGAGCCCGGGCAGCAAGAAGCTCACAGTCTTACCAGAAGCAAATCCAGGAGATAAAGTACAGGCTGGTAGCAGGGAGGGGCCCGAGGGCCCTGCACCCCACAGTTACGGTATGCAGTAGGCACGAGGGGGGCCGAGGAAGGCGCCACTGCCCCGCAGGGGGGTGCCAGAGTCACTGTGCGGGGCTCTGCCAAGGCCACAGGGCAGAGGGAGATTGCAGGGTCCTGGCTGGGTCCCAAGGAGACAGGGCCGGTTGCTCAGGACACAAGAGCAGGGGGCCACAAACGACCTGTCGCTGGAATCCGGGGTAGCTGGCACGTGGGCCCCTGCAGATGAGCTGGCAGAGCCCGGCCCGTGCCTGGCTCATCCTGGGGGGCTGTGGCCAGGGGGGCTCTCCGTCCGCCCCGCGGGCTCACCCTAAGGCATGCAGGATGTACTCGTAGCTGAGGAAGGTGACGGCATTGACAGGGAAGGCGCGGGCACTGTTGATGATGAGCCCCCGGAAAAAGACCCCGGGGCCTTCCTGC